GTCTACAATAATAAATAAATACATGCAAAATAAAATAAACAACTTTTTATTATATAAAGCTTATTTTAAAGGTAACTAGTTTTTAATTAGCATTAACACTGTTTGAACTGTTATACATAAATTATGGTTAAAAGTCAGATTCTTTTGGTACAAAAACATAAAACTGAAACTTATGAGGTAGGTATTACGATTGTTTAAAAATTTTAAGTTGTTTAAAAAATATAAAATATAATAAATAAACCAATTACTTAAAAAGATTGTCAGCGATAGCATGTTTTCTTGATGAATTAAGCAAGGTTGCAAAATTGAACATCCGTTCAACTGAAGCTGATGATGGTAAGTTGGTGTTGTATTTTACAAATACTTGTTTAATTAACTTATAATCATGGAGCATTTCTTTATTAGTTCTTCTATGTTCCAAGTACTGTAATAACTCTAACTCCGATTTATTTCTTACTACATCTTTTTCTGATTCTAATGGTTTTTTGTATTTATAATAATTCTATTTATCATGATTCTTATTGGTAAACTCGGAGACGGAGACGTGTCTTGCCTAGTGCATAATTTTATTTAGGTTTAGTGTGTTGAATGAAATGTGTACTTAAGTACCAAGGTTTATATATAAGAGGTTGTCTAGGTTCGTACGCAACCATACTGCGCATTACGTCACATGTGGAAAATAATACCGCCAAGCAATTCAAATTAAACAAATGCATGAAGCACCACATGGCCAAGAGGTTGCGTGCGCAATCCGTGATCGCTTACGTCACGAAACACTCCTGCCCTTGCCCCTCGCCCACAAACTAAAATCAAAGTATTGCAGCATAGGAACTTAGACAACCTTTAATATATAAACCTTGCTTAAGTACAGCCAGAAAAAAAGAGATGCATCGACGTTTTTTCATATAGGCCGTCCAAATTACACAAAATCCCATATACAGTATGTAAAATGAACCCCGAAAATGTAATTTGGACAGCCTATACGAACGAAAGCCGACGCATATCTTTTTTTTCTGACTGTACATACTAGATATTTGGAAGTACTTAAACTGTCTTAAAAAGTAGTTAAATTACTTAAAAGAAATTAAAATAAACAAAAATAGTTAGAATACCTAAAGTATAGTAGTATAGTAGTTAACAATGAGGAGTTAACTACTTTCTGTGAATATTTTATGCCAGCATAATAAATCGAGTATAACTGCCAATAGAACGAAAGTAATTGTAGTTAACTACTTTTGTAGTTAACTACTGCCCAGCTCTGCTTAATACTACAGGCATTGGGTGGTTTTGCAAAGGAAAAGTTTTGCTTGGAAAAAGGTGACCTTATGATAACCCTGAGTTTTCGGCCGTTTTAAGAGACCAACCACTAAACCCGAATGTTTCTGGTACTAAGTCTGGTGTTAGTTCAACTTTTCGTTCCATAAAAATATATCACAACCTAACGTTGAATAACAATTAAAACTTTAACTAACACTAGACTTGAAACTAGAAGAATTCGGGATTAGCCGCATGTCTCTTAAGACGGCTAAACCCGAATGATTCTAGTTCTAGGTCTTGGGTTAGTTCTAGTGATAGTGCTAGTGTAAAACTAGAACTAACACTAGACCTAGAACTAGAAAGTATTGGGTTTAGTCGTCTGAAGATGCACGGCTAAACCTGAATGTATTGTTCAATAAAAATATGCAACATAGTGATATCTTATGTTAACTAGCGCTGCTTACCACTAGAACTAACATTAGACCTACAACACTAACGTTTGAACTTCAGATACGTTGTATTTTATGTGAGACAAAGTAAGTAGGTACGCCCTAGTTTTCATTTTCATTTTATGTTGATATATCATTTTGGAATACGACATTTTCGCAATATTATAATTTATTGTACAGGGTGTTTCATAATATATGCGCAGGATTTCAGGATGTGATAGCTTGTCCGAAAATTTGAAAAAAAGTATCTATCAACTTACCTTCTAAAATGCATTATTTTCGAGATACAGGGTGTTGAAATTTAATAAAAAAAATCTTTTTTTGCGAATATCTCCGGAACCGTTTATCGTACAGAAAACAGCGTTTGTAAGCATTTTCTACTCATAATAAGCTAAGTTTTGTGCGAGAAAAAATTTTTTTAAAGTCATAATAAGTGAAGATTTTGAAGGGGTTGTTATTCTCCCCAACTTCTACGCCACTGGAAAAAGTACGGTTTTGAGACGCCCATTTGAACCGTCAATGTTTTCTACATAAAAAAGGTACTGTATTGATACTAAAAGCTCTAAAGTTGACCGATTTCTAGAAAAAGCATGGTCAATGTTGCTCTATGTTGAAAAACATGGTCAATTTTTTTAAATAAAAATGTTATTTTACAATTAAATAAGAACAATGAACAAGAAACAAAAGAAAGCGTTAACTTCATAATTGCAAAATAAAAAAAATGAAAAAATGATACAAAAGTTGTCTTTTCAAAATTCTCCAAACCGTAAAGGTAACACATTTCAGCGTTTGTGCAAAAAATAATATAATTTATTTTTTACAAGTAGGCTTTAAATTTTATAACAAAAGCTACCTCCTGTCAAAATAACAATTAGTTTGTACCTGCAAAAAGTAAACTTGTATTACAAAATTAAAAATGAATTACACAAACGCTGAAATGTGCGAAATGCATTACCTTTACGAAATGGCGTGCGGTAATTCGGCAGAAGCAAGGCGGGGTTGTATCAAGAAAGATATCCAGATCGCCCAACGACTATGGTAAAATAGAAGTTTTAAAAGGAATACTGCTGATAATGGGCGGCCTATGGAAGTTGCAAATTTCCAAGTAGAAGAGGCTGTCCTCAACGAAATTGATGAAAATCCGACCACAAGTGCCAGAAAAATTGCTCACAACTTAAATCTATCTCACTTGACGGTTTGGAGAATTTTGAAAAGGTAGCTTTTGTATCCCTACCATATCTAAAGAGTACAAAGCCTTATTGCCAAAAGATTTTCTGCCAAGATTGGCTTTTTGTACTTGGATGCAAGACAAAATAGCTCAAAATCTTGAGTTTGGAGCCGCAGTTCTGTTTACCGATGAAGCATCTTTCTGGAAGGACGGTATTTTCAATTTTCACAATAACTATCTGCTGAAGGCCTTCATCAGCAACAATTTTCCGTAAATGTTTGGGCTGCCATCATCGGTGATCATTTGATAGGCCCACATTTTTTACCGAACAGATTAAACGGTGCAGATTATCGACAATTTCTAGAAGTCGGAACTGCTGGAAGATGTACCGCTTCAAGTCAGAAAAAACATGTACTTTATGCATAATAGAGCTTCGGCCCACTTTAGTTTGGTTGCTCGCATACTTGGACGACGAACACCCAGACCGTTGGATCGGTCGAGGAGATCCGCAACCTTGACCACCACGATTTCAGGAACTTAATTGTTTAGATTTTTTCTTTTGGGGCCATCTGAAAACCCTAGTCTACGCTACTCCAGTTGAAAATGTTGACCAAGTAAGAGAGCGCATTGTTGTATGTTGCGACATAATTCGGAACACTCCGGGAATTTTCCTGCGTGTTAGACAGTCAATGCGTTGAAGAATTGCTGCGTGCATTGAAGCTAACGGCGGACATTTCCAACATTTAATTTAACTGTGTATGATTTGTAATTGTTTTTTTTTAATTATGCAATTATGAAGTTATTTGTTCTAACGTTTTAGTAAAATAAAATTTTTATTTAAAAAAATTGACCATGTTTCAACATAAAAGTTGATTTTTCTCGAAAACGGTCAACGTTAGAGCTTATGACATTCAGTACCTTTTTTGTGTAGACAACATTGGCGGTTTAAATGGGCGTCTCAAAACCGTACTTTTTCAGGTGGCGTAGAAGTTGGGGAGAAAAACAACCACTACCGCTTCAAAATCTTCACCAATTATGACTTTAAAAAATTTTTCTCTCGCACAAAACTTAGGATATTATGAGTAGAAAATGCTTACAAAAGCTGTTTTCTGTACGATAATCTAAAAATGGTCCATTTTAGAGGGAAAGTTAATAGAAACTTTTTTTTAAATTTTTGCATCACATCCTGCGCATATATTATGAAACAACCTGTATATGAGGTTTGTAGTTTTGATCTTCTAAACGATATATTAATCTCTGATTTGTATTTAACTCTGGTCTTCTAGTGACTTAATGTCTTGTACTTGTATATCTAATTGATCTTGTGTATGTTATATAGTTTACAGTGTGTCCATAAAGTCATGGTGCATTTTTGACCGGTCACAGGAAAGCATGAAAGCAAGATCCAGTGTAGCCCTACGCATATAATAACGTTTATGATTCTCTGTTTTAAATAATTAATGTCATTGATATGTTCATTGTATAGCTATCATAGACTCATAACTTACCGATACGGATACACTGTATTATTGATTTTTGTACTCTTCCTTCGACTTAATGCGGTAGGTAGTAGAAGGAGTTGCCTATTAAGAGCTGGTTTATAATACAGTTCTCCTTCAAACTTCCTCAATGTTCCATATTCATCCTCTTCATTCCATGCGGGTCGAGCATTCCATGCTCTTGTTATCATTAGATGTTCCATTTTGGATTTTTTCATTGTCATTTGCAAATTCTCGTAAAATTTATCCTTATTTCTCACAGCTGCATCTTCTGTTAGAGCATATATCTGTATTAGTCATAGTTTTTCTTGTATTTCCAGGCTTATGGTAATAATTCTGGAATTTATAGCTTCCCAGTTTTTTATTTTTCTTCCAATCTAGGCATTCATTATTTTTACTCGACTTTCCATAAAAATTCTTGCGTATCTTATCTCTTATGTACATTTTATTAAGAATCTAACTAATACCAACAGAAACATTAAAAATATGACCTTAACAATTATTATTCCAGAAAAAAAATCTCTTTCTGAACTCTTATTATTAAAGAAGAGTTTCTAATAATGAAACCATCTTCTCTTCAAAGTTCATGAAATCATAAAATAACAAAATCTTTTTTTTTTCTCGAAGGGTTTTGGATGTACGGCGGATTCATGTCGAGCAAGTATACAAAGTGTAAGACCAGTATGCGGATCAGACAGCTTTACATATCCAAATAAGTGCATATTACAATTAGCACAATGTTACGACAAAACGTTAACACAATTAAATAAAGGGCCATGTCGCACACATACTCCATGTACAGAATACAATAAAACCTCCCCGAATAGTATATTAAATCCGCATTGTCGGGCCGATGGAAACTACGCATCTGGACAATGCAGCAGCATTTTGGGTTATTGTTGGTGCGTAAACAGTCACGGGGTCCCATTAGATTATACGATGTCTCAATATTCGCCGGAACAAAAACAAACATGCGCCCGAAAGAAGAAGAACAACAAACGGAGATCGTCGTCGAGGAACGGAAGGAGATTGAATCAACCGTGTAAACGAGAGGATAAAGCCAAGTTTAATTTGAATTTGATTAAAATCTTCCAAACGGAGTGGAATCGAGATGGAGGAAAAGGAACGTCGACGTCGTCGTCGTCGACGGATGACGATTTTAGAACGGTTTTAGATTGGAAATTTAAACAAATGGATCGGAATAACGATGACCAATTAGATAAAACCGAATACAGGGATTTGAAAAAAATCGTTAAGAAAGCCGTCAAGCCGAAACGTTGTGCTAAAAGTTTTGCTAAAGCTTGTGATATGAATCGGGATCAACTTATTGGGAGAGAAGAATGGGCTGATTGTCTTACTAAGGATGGAAGAGACGGTAAGTGGTAAACGTTTTTTCTTTGACGATATTGGTCACCTTTTTTTTCTCTTTTTTCTTGGTGTGTGGTTGCGATTAAATTAATATTTCTTTAACTTGGCCCAATGCACGCTTTTACCATGTTTTGAACTTAAATAGTTTTTTTGCGTCTGTTCTTGTTGCTGCGGGTAGACGGCAGTCCAGGATCCGATAACACATCCTCGGGAGATAGCGACAGAGAAGATCTCATCACAACACCTTCTTCTACTTTAACACCACCATACGGTAATTAAATCTAAATTTAAGTGGTACCAATCTTAATTATAACACCTAATACGTTATGTAATCATTTCTTTTTTTACAAACAGTTTTAAAACCATTTATACCAGATGAAGAATCTTCAGAACCTTCCGATGAAGATGCCGTCGATTGTAGAAGCGATCGTCAAACGGCATTAAGCGAAATGAGCAACGAACACAGCAAAAATGATTTGTACGTTCCTGAATGTACGAGCGATGGGAGGTATCAAAAAATACAATGTTACAAATCGACCGGTTACTGTTGGTGTGTCCATGAAGATACTGGAAAAACTATTGCTGGAACGACAGTTTTAAACGCAACCCCAAAATGCGATCAAATCGCGCCTCCCATTGGTATTCTTAAAGGATGCCCGGAAGATCGAAAAAAAGAATTTTTAAGGGGGTTAATTCGGTTTCTTCACGATAAAATGGATCGAGAATTAAACGGATCAAGTATAGCAAGGTAATTACTTTTAATTTCTCTTTATTTTATTATTTGGCGAGTATTTGTAGTTTTTTTATTGCCGCTTATCGCATCCCTCTTGACCTCCAGTGGTCTTTATTAATTCTAGTTCGTGGTCTAGTGTTAGTTCTAGTTTTTAACTAGCACTATCACTAGAACTACCACAAGACTTAGAACTAGAAACATTCGGATTTAGCCGCACGTCTCTCAAGACGGCTAAACCCGAATGATTCTAGTTCTAGGTCTTGTGTTAGTTCTAGTGATAGTGCAAAACTAGAACTAACACTAGACGAGAACTAGAAACATTCGGATTTAGCCGCACGTCTCTCAAGACGGCTAAACCCGAATGATTCTAGTTCTAGGTCTTGTGTTAGTTCTAGTGCTAGTGTAAAACTAGAACTAACACTAGACCGAAAACTAGAAACATTCAAATTTAGCCACACGTCTCTCAAAACGGCTAAACCCCAATGATTCTAGTTCTAGGTCTTGTGTTAGTTCTAGTGATCCCGCAAAACTAGAACTAACACTAGACCTAGAACTAGAAACATTCAGATATGTTTGTTGTCATTTTATGTGTTACAAAGTAAGTAACCCGAGCGTACCTGGTTTCTATATAAATATATTTTTGTATATTGCATTTTAAGTAAAATTCGCTATATTTTTCATTTACTTAATTTTAGTGCAAACAGACCGGCTTGGAATACAACGAAAGAAGAACAAGTAGCGTCTTGGAGTTTCGTAATATTCGATAAAAACAAAAATAAGATATTTGAAAAACACGAGTGGAAGTTTTTTAAAGATACCATAGCGGCCGTTCGGAGTCTTAGAAGATGCGGAAAAAAATTACCTAGATATTGTGATAAAAACAACGATCGAGGGATTACAATGACGGAGTGGTTGGAATGTCTTCAAAGAAGAGATCCAGCTTTTATGGAAATCTTGCGAGAAGATTAAAAGTAAAATAAAGGGAAACAAATAGCACGAACATTGTGATTGTACATAACAATATAATATAAGACAATATGGTTCTTCTTATTAGTTTTTTAAATAAGATGCTTATTTATTTTTTACTTTACAAAAAAAAATATTATTCTTTTAACGTCTACTTACCCCACTCTAATTTTTACGTGATTGTGTAATAATGTGTGCATTGTATAAATCTTCCAAAAAAAAATTAAAATTAAATTGAATTAATTAAGAATTAAAAAGAAATAATCTTGTTGATACCTTTGTATTTTAATATTCTCTTTGTAATAAGATAAAAATAAACGTGCGTCTATTTAAAGCCTTATGTGTGTGTTTTTTTAAAGTCGCGACATAAATCTTTCACACTCTAAATTCCAATAATAATTATCGTTTGGTTATCACAGTTAACATACATAAACAGTACGGCGCCAATCTGGCGCTTAGTATACATTTAATTTGGCGTTTTATGAATTATGATTAATATTATTAAACGGAGATTAATTGATCCCGATTATAATTATCTAAACGATGTAGTATACAGAGTGGTTATGAATTTGTAATCTAATAAATTGAATTTAGTATATTATGTAGTTTGAAAAGTCATTAATTTTGGTTAATTTAAAAACTTTTTATTAAATGAACTGTTTACCCTGAAAGTTGGTACCCTAATTTTGAAGACTCTTTTGTAATAGAATAGGACAAATTTTAATGTATTACTTTAAAACAGTTTAGGAGAAAATGATTTTTTTAGAATCGTCAGAAATTACACACTGGAAACTGTCAATTTGGTATACTAAAACATCAACCACTCTTTTATATTAGGACAAAGTTTCATTGTTTAATCTAGAACAGTTTAGGAGAAAATTATTATTTTCTTGAACTTCATTATCTTTTAAAACCTTTATTGAATAAACTGTTTACATTGGAAACTTCAAAGTTGGTATATCCTAACTTCAATAAGTCTTTTATAACAGGTCTAAGTTTTGTTTCTTAATCTAGAACAGTTTAGGAGAAAATGATTATTTTCTTGACCCTCATTTTCAGAAATGTCAAATATTAGTCACCTTTTAAAATCTTTATTAAAAAAACTATCTACATTAGAAATTTTAAATTTGGTATACCCCAACATCAAACACTTTTTTATAACAACACGAAGTTTCATTTATTAATCTAGAACAGTTTAGGAGAAAATGATCTTTTTATTAAACCTCATTTTTAGAAATGTCAAAAAGTACTAATCGTTTAAAATCTTTATTAAAAAGCTGCTGTATACTGGAAGCTTTAAATTTGGCATACCTCAACATCAAACCGTCTTTAATAACGGGACAAAGTTTCATTGCTTATTCTAGAACAGTTTAGGAGAAAATGATGTTTTTCTTTAACCTAATTTTTAGAAATGTCAAAAATTACTCATTTTTTAAAATCTTTATTAAAAAAGCTGCTCATACTGGAAACTTTAAATTTGGCATACCACAACATCAAACAGTCTTTAATAACAGGGCAAAGTTTCATTGCTTAATCTAGAACAGTTTAGGAGAAAATGATGTTTTTCTTTAACCTCATTTTTAGAAATGTCAAAAAAGACTCATCTTTTAAAATCTTTATTAAAAAAGCTGCTCATACTGGAAATTTTAAATTTGGCGTACCCCAACATCAAACAGTCCTTAAAAACAGGACAAAATTTTATTTCTTAATCTAGAACAGTTTAGGAGAAAATTATGATTTTCTTTAACCTCATTTTTAGAAATGTCAAAAATTACTGATCTTTTAAAATCTTTATTAAAAAAGCTGCTCATACTGGAAAGTTTAAATTTGGCATACCACAACATCAAACAGTCTTTAATAACAGGGCAAAGTTTCATTGCTTAATCTGGAACAGTTTAGGAGAAAATGATATTTTTCTTTAACCTCATTTTTAGAAATGTTAAAAATAACTCATCTTTTAAAATCTTTATTAAAAAAGCCGCTCATACAGGAAACTTTAAATTTGGCATACCACAATATCAAACAGTCTTTAATAACAGGACAAAGTTTCATTGGTTATTTAGAACAGATTAAGAGTAAATGATCTTTTTCTGAAACCGAATTTTTAGAAATGTCAAAAATTACTCATGTTATAAAATTTTTATTAAGAAAGCTGCTCATACTGGAAAGTTTAAATTTGGCATACCACAACATCAAACAGTCTTTAATATCAGGACAAAGTTTCATTGCTCAATCTAGAACAGTTTAAGAGAAAATGATGTTTTACTTTAACCTCATTTTTAGAAATGTCAAAAATTACTCATCTTTTAAAATCTTTATTAAAAAAGCTGCCCACACTGGAAAGTTTAAATTTGGCATACCACAACATCAAACAGTCTTTAATAACAGGATAAAGTTTCATTGCGTAATCTAGAGCGGTTTAGGAGAAAACGAACCTCATCTTTCATTTTCTTAGACCTTATTCTTTTATAACCTCAAAAAATCATTTACTAAACTCGATTGTATCCTTGCTGACAATACTTTTACGTTTAGTATATGTAAATGTCTTTGTCGTATGACCGCATTTTCATATCTCTTTTGAGATGCACCTCCAAGTCTATGTTATGCCCATCCATGTTCACTATCATGTCAGAAGAACGCCACAAATATTTACTTTTTCTTTCAACACCATCTTTATATTCAGATATTAACATTTTTCTGGCATTCTTTGTGACCTCGTTTTGACTTCTTTCTTGCCATTTTTTTTCCTTTTTTCTGATAGAAGTATTTTTAGAAACCAGAAGAATAGGAATTTGGAGGGAAACAACCAGTTTTTCAATTTCATTTGCCTTTCTACTGTAAGCTTTTTGTAAGTTTTGTCAATCAGATGAGACTGTTCTCTGTGTCTTTTACCTGACTATACAAGCAACAGACTATTCTCTGTGTCTTTTACCTGACTATACAAGACACAGACTATTCTCTGTGTCTTGTATCTAATCATCTAATCTATCAGAATATATAGAAAAAAAGGTAATCAACCCAAAAAGAAATAAAAATTCATACATTTTATAATTCTACCATTAAAATGATAATACTGAAGTGATTTATCTTATCTTTCTTCTAAATAGTAATTATATTATGTGATAAATTTGATAATAAGAGATAAAAAAAATATGCTCTAGGTGAGGCTCGAACTCACAACCCCGGCATTGCTCACGACTACTGTCTTATAAGTACCGTGCGCTAACCAATTGCGCCACTAGAGCCTTGATGTTACACTTATATCACGCATTTCTTAACATACGAAAGATTCGCACCACAATAACCCCTTATATTACTTTAAATAAATTTAGTTATAATTTTTTACATTCCAATATAACCAAATTGAATCTTAAAACGATTGAATTGTACTTAATAGCGATGACAATAATTTTTTTAAAGATAACTAAACTGACACGCATCCAACTTCAGATCAAATAAATATATCTTAAATTAAACTCAAAATTTTAATAAACACTTTTTAACTTCTTTTTTTATAGCAATTATTATCAAGTATAATTAGATATTATTGTTAAATTAAAGGAAACACTAAAATTAACCAAATTTACACCGAATATGCTGCCCCCTATTCGTCGATATTCGAATCAAAATTAATGCTTTTTTTTATTAAATTAAATATTTTCTTTATTAATTTTTTCTATAAAAACCTTTTTTATACTTATTAAACAAAGTGAATACAAAACCTATTATAATTTCCACGTTTTAAATTTATATTTATTGACAATTGACATAATATGTCAATTAAAAATTTGTTGTGACGTTTCACCTACTGATTGTCAAAATAGTTATAAACACAACCGAAAAATGTATTTTTAAAACGAATAATAACACTCTTAATCGATTAGAGGTGTTACACGGTATATGTGATATTAAGTAATCAAAAACGGCTTTAAAAAAAAATCGGTAATGAGTTGGTTCGATACAGCAAGTTTCGCCAACATAGCAAAATCAGCTTTAAAGGAAGCTCAAAGAACGATAGATAAAGCTTTGGATATCCGAGACGATGACCCAAACGCTGTAGTCCCATCTAACACCCCCATCGATGTTAATCACGACGAATTTTTCCAATCATGGGGTTTGAACACGGTTAATTCAAACAAAAATAGTCCCTCTGATGTGGTTACAAAAAGCCCTGTTAAATCCCAAAAAGTTGTTTCTAGTATATGGGGGTCGTTTACTGGTTCGTTTTTTGAGAATGCCCAAGAAAAAGGTCAAAAAAGTAAGGATTCTATTGAAAGTTTGGATGATTCTGCCGACTTAGATTTTAAAGAAAGTAAACTTGTTGTCCAACATAGTGATGATGGTGATAGTATGAAAAGATCTTTATCTGTTGAGGAAACCGGTGTTTTGGACGATGAAGGTAAAGATTGTTATGATGGAATGAATTTGAAAGAAATTGGGGAGGTTAACGCATTGAATAGGTTATCTATTGTGAGTAATGAAAGTGATAAAAAAAGTAGTGATAGCGTTGAGGTTTTAAGTAATACCGAGTGTACTACTTCTCCTGATTCGGAAATGGTTTCACATCAATCAATTACAACAACTAGTTCAGGTTGTTTTAAACAATAATTTAAAATTTTTTTTAATGTAAAAATTGATTTTTAGGAATTCGCCAAACAACTGAATCTGTAGAAGTACTTCCCGACAGTTTAACAAGTCCCAGTTCAATAGAGCAGTTAGATTCTGATAGTTCAAATAGCAAACATTTATCTCCACATACAAATGAATTTTTATCACCAGATGATTCACCAGGAATTGAAGAAGAGTAAGTAAAATTAATTAAAATTTAATTAATCTAAAAAAAAATTATTGATTAGAGTTGCTGAAAGATCAAGCCCAGAAAGTGTTCAAGTTATCCAAGAAGAACAAGAAGACACCAGCATTGCAGAAGATACAATTTCATACACTTCAATCTCCGAAAGTACAGCAGCGACTGTTTTAGATTCAGCCCAAATGTTACAACCTTTAAATTACCAAAAATCCCATTCAAAAGACACTCCAGACATTCCAATAACTCGACCTCCAAGCAGAACAGCCCTACATTTACCATTACCACAAACAATAAGCACGCAACCTCAAAGCATTAAGGAGGACGTTAACGATTTAATGTTAACATCGAATATAATCGATATTCCGACCGATTTGGAGAGTTCCGGGGTCGACGATAGCTCGCAATCGGATAAAACGTTGATTGCAAGCGACGTTGGAGACAGTGGAACGGATACGAGCGAAAGTAATTACACTTCGACTTATTTAAAGCATATGCTTGCTGATGCGATGGTTGAAAAATCGCATTGTGAACACGATTTTAGTCATCAAGAAGTTCAAAGTAAAGAAGATGGGGGGAATTATTCAGATGCGGTTATTTTACCAATGGTAATTTTTGAAAATGTTGCTATAATTTATTTTAAATAATTTTTATTAAGCGGGTATGCAACCCAAATTACTTTTCTTCTAATCCTTATGCCTGATGACGTCGTATAAATCTTTTTGTAATTCGCGACGGTAACGAAAGCTCTAACAGTACTCAAACGGGTGCTGTAATGAGACTCCTTACAGCATCCGATGCTGTAATGAGATTTTAGTAACATTTTATGGAAGCAGTTCAAGTTGGTGACATTGGATCATTAATTTTTCTAGTTGTCAATGTGACAATTTTTGTCTATGGATGTTTAAACACGTTCTTAGCATCGAATGCAAGGTCCACAATGATGAGGACATTGAACACTGAGCAATTTCTCTTGTTTTGGGAGGTGTACATGAAACATTTTTTTCAGGTGAATACATTTTGTATTTTGACAGTTTCTAATTGTCAATTCAAATTTCTATTTTCAAGTGTTACGGTGTTACCAACTGCTGCATACCTATGTCAAAATTTATTTTATTTTTGTTAAAAAAAAGGATAAAAACGCGAATTACAAAAAATAGCATAAAAAACACGTTTCATAAGACTTAAAGCATTCATTCATTAAATAACTCGTGGCTTCGCCACTCGTTTTTCAACTTGAATTCGTGCATTTCAAGCGTGTCTTACGAAACTTGTTTTTTAATATACTATTTTCCTATTCCTCTTTCCACTTCCTCTCGTTCCTGGCTAATTCCTTTATATCTGTTAGAGTCTTCTTCCCAATTTCTGCTATTCTTTCCTACCACTTCTTCCTAGGTCTTCCCCTCTTTTTCTTATCCTTATTCTGTGCTTCAAATACCTTTTTTACTATTGTGTTATGTTCGATTCTAATTATGTGGGCGTATCAGTTTAGTTGCTTTCTCTCTATTTTGCTGATTATCTCCTCTTGATTCTCCTCGTCTTATTTCCTCATTCTTTATCCTATCCCACTTCGTCTTCTCCACTATTTTCCGTAAAAATTGCATTTTCATTGCTGTCATCTTTCCTTCTTGTTTGTCTTGGAGTGTCCATGATTCATTGGCATATGTTAATATTGGGACTGCCACCGAGTTGTACACTTTTCATTTATGTTTTTATCTATCTCCTTCCCAAAAATTGTTATGTTTAGAGTATGATATACGCTGTTTGTTTTCCTTATGCTTGTTTTCAATTTTTTCCGTCCATATTTCAACCAACATCCTTACCTTTTTATGGTTCTCAGCTATCAGCACTATGTCGTCAGCATATAGTAAATTATCTATTTTTACTGGTTCCAAACTTTCATAACCTATTACTGTTTGATATTTATTTGTACTTGTTGTATTTTTTGTCACTCTGTTCTTATATGTCAAAAGCTGCTCTTAGGTCCAAGAATATTAGGAATAGTTCATTACCCGTCTCTATTTTCCTTTCAATGATATTTCGGCTCTGTATGCTGCTTGTTCATCTTCTAGTTTATTTTCCTCTACTCTTCTTAACCTTTTTTCTATTATCTTTATGTATAATTTGTAACTTGTAGATGATAGGCATATGATTCTGTAATTTTCACAGTTCGAGTAGCTTCCTTTTATTATGTATTGGTAAGATGATGTTATTTTTCCAATCTTTCGGGATTGCCATGCGGTTTTATATACAGGGTGAGTCAGAAAGAATGGGAAATCCGAATACCGGAGATACTAGACACCAAAATATGATGATTTAACCTAATATCTCTTATACAAATGTCGGTGGTTTTCGAGGCACAGGGTGTTGAAAGTTAAATTCTTATTTCGAAATTTCTTGATAATTTTGAAGGTTTGTGTACTATTAACATAAAATTTGGCAGTTTTATGATTTCGAACATGAGAAATACGAATTTGAAACTTGTTTCGTTATTGCTAGTAGAGGGCGCTAGATACACACTGCTCGTTTGATAAATCAAATCATAAGTGTTTTAGCTGTCGACCTATGACGAATAAGAGCTACTCACTATATTATACGTGTTATATGCTAAATTAATAAAATTCGACATATCGCTATAATTTAACATAACAAACATTTTATCTTAATCAACTTTTGTTGTACATTGCTCAGAAAGACTACTTTACCTGTAACGGTTAACAAACTTCATGCGTTAACTTTGGTACTTTGAGGATATTTGACGTAAAACTTGGTTATATTTCGTTTTATGACATCCAGACTTTAATTGCAAAAGATGGAATTTGAATTCAAAAATTTATCGTCAATTATACCTTACGGGGACACAATCCGTGAACACACTGTATATATATATACAGTTTGACCCATTTGAAAGCGGAGCACCCTCGTAAAATCTGTATTTATTACCCGATTGCGACAAATTTTTTTTTGCATTGTAGACCATAAAAAACTTTACCTTCGGACAAAGAGTCATATTTTTCTTAGAAAAGCCAAAGCCTACTATTTCACTTTTTAAGTGCTAAAAATGAAGAGCTGTACTAACTAGTACAAGCTGGACTCGCTTGTACTCTATTTCCTTTTGTATGTTTTTTATTGTACAAATAAGCTTATTTTCTAATAAAGGCATTTATTATATGATGGTACAGAAAAGTGTTCTTTCATCTTATAGATGTTGCAATGTGGAATGCCTATTACATATACAGGGTGGTTCAGTTTTTAATCGGGAAACTTTACTAGGACGTAGTACTTGCCAAAATAACACAAGCTTTTTATATAAACATAGGGTCGCAATTCTTTTTTTTTTCGAGCTATGAGCTGTCAAAGTTAAGCCAAAAATTTACATTTTATCTTTTATTTCGAGTATAAGTAAACCGTAGAATTTGAAAATTTAATTAAACCATACCTTAAACTTCCTTAACACCCTCTAAGGGGACGAAATTCACAACCCTTTTGATTTTTTTATAACAACTTTTTAACGCCATGGAATATTAACATACTTAAGTATGGGTTGTAAAGAATATTCATTACTGGTGCTTTTTTGCCTCTTTAGTTTTTTCCTTAAAGATAATAGTTTTGGCGTAAAGAAATAAAATATGCTACATTGTACTGTAAAGCTCAGCGATTATTAAAACAAACTTTTCTTTATAGCTGGCTATGGAACTTGTGCACTTGCTAGGATCTAGTACTAACTAAATAACACTAATTAATTGTGATTTTCATAAGAAAAACCATTAATAAGATGAATGTCTATCTGAATAAATTACGTTGTTTTAAACAATATTAAAAAATTGATACTCTTGCTTAATAAGAGTCAAAAATTATTAATAATCATCAACAATTATGAGGATTCAACCTAAATGAAACTTACAAGTTCTCAGAGTCAACTTTTAGAATAATTTTAGCTAAACATACTAGGAAACTATTACCTTTAAGGAAAATACTAAAGAGACAAAAAAGTACCACTAAATAATGAGCTTTACAACCCATATTTTTTTTATGTTAATATTCCATAGCGTTAAAAAATTATTATAAAAAAAATCGAGGGGGTGGTGAATTTCATCCCCTTAGAGGCCGCTAGGGAAGTTTAAGGTATGCTTGAAAATAAGGTCTTAACCAGTAGTAAATACATACAAAGTTTCAAATTCTACGGCTTACTTACAGCCGAAATAAAAAATAAATTGTAAATTTTTGGCTCAACTTTGACAGATCATAGCTCGAAAACAAAAGAGTTGCGGCTCTATGTTTATATAAAAAAATTGAGTTATTTTGGCAAGTTCTACATCCTAGTAACGTTTCCCGATTAAAAACTGAACCACTCTGTATATGTAATAGGCATTCCACATTGCAACATCTATAAGATGAAAAAACACTTTTCTTTACCATCTTATGGTTTTTCTTGGCGATGAGTAGTATCCCATCATCTGGTCTGATCTGTCTATTCCGAACATGTATGTACTTATTGTAGGCGAGAACGCAGTATGGTTTTATTACTTGTTTTCCTGTTCTATTCGTTGCCATTCGGTGTTTATGTATTGTAGAAAACATAGTCACCAATCTCTTGTCCTTCCAGTGTGTAACAAACACTGGACCTTTTTTTTCCCATACAGCTTCTCTTTCTTAATTTTTCTTGAAATAATTGTTTCGGATTTCCCTTTCTAAATTTTCGCAAAATTCCTACAAGTTTCGTCTTCCTTTTGAACAAATATTTTACTAGTGTAATAATTATCAAGGTATATTTCATGCCCTTTACCCAAATAATCTTTTAGTAACTCTGTTATGACTGTAAACGTATGGGAATGCTCTTGATCATTGTCAATTATAGTGCCTTTTCCAGTACAGACAAGTATATTCAAAACAAAACCATCAAATGGGGTAAGCTCATACAGCTTTATTCTTTACTTATGCCTCTTGTTTACAACATACTGCCTAAATTTAAGGCGTATTCGCCAGTGAATCAATCCGACTCATTATCAGATTCAGACTGCAAAGCTGCTGTAGCAGGAGGTGTAGAACCATTTGAGTTTATTTCATCATCAGTAGAAGGGCCCGAATCGTTGTGATAAGTCAGCCAAATAACTGAATTTATTCTAAAATTTCGAATATAAATTCGAAAAAATCGAATTTATTTATAACCAAATTTAAATACATTAGGACGCGTCGTCATTAGACGCGTCGAGTAAATTGAACGCGGCTCACCACGAAAAACCTTTCCGTCTATTAGACTGGACTCCGCGCCGGTAGCGAACGTGTTAAGCGGATATGCAACCCAAATTATGATGTTTTAAAATGTTTTTTATAATCTGTTAATTTTTTCTTTAGGTTTCAACTCGAGAGTTATCCCCATTAAGTTCTGAACGATCGGATATGGTAAAAATCGGTTCAGATCAAGCATCCGGTCACACTTCTGGAGACGAATTAGAAACAACAACCTCTTCAGATATAGAAATAATTTCGAGTCCAAATGGTGGTGATTCAAGTAGCACCCACAGCAGACATAGTCCAGCAAAATTAATATGTGTTAAAGGAAAATCAGTAGAACCAAATGTAGACTCACTTCTAGGAAAAATGACTTTTAAAAGAAACAAAGGCCACAATCGGGAGCTTTCTGAAGCATCAAGTATCAGCGAAGACTCCGAAATGGAAAGATTAGCGAGACGAATATCGGAAGTAACCGAAATTTTAGAATCACGAGAAGCAAAATTAATCGAGGTTAGTAGGAAAAATGCTGAATTACAAGAATCAAACGAAGAATTACGCTCGCAATTAGATACAATTCATACGAAACAATTAGAATGTTTAGATTTATCCCAAGTAACAGATGAATACGCGCGGCGTTTATCAGCTTTAGAAAAGAAATTCCAACAAGCGATAAGAGAAAAAGATTCGTTACGGAAGCAATTAGATGAATGTAAAAAAGATGCCACTTCGCGATTAACAAAAAGCGAAATCGATACGTTAGTAGCGGAGAAAGATGAAATAATTAAAGAGTTGCGAGAGGAAGGCGAAAAATTATCCAAACAACAATTACAACATTCAAACATAATCAAAAAACTACGTGCTAAAGAAAAAGAACACGAAAATTCAATAAAATATTTTAAAGAAACCGTTGAGGATTTAACCGGCGAAGTTGATCGATTAAAACGATCTTTAACAGCTAAAGAAGAAGTCGAACGTAGTCAAATCGAAGCCGTACATCAACTAACAACAAAAAACAAAAAGTTAGAAACCGAATTAGAAACAACGAAAGATAATTTCGACGATTTAAATCAAAAATTTGATACGGTTAAAAAATCTTTGGACGCAGCCAAAAAAGAATTAGGCGACAAAAATCGTACTAGCAACGAATTAATTGCGCGCGAACAACTTTTACAAAGTTTAGAAAATGAAAAGCGTATGACAGAGAGTCAAAACGAAGAGATTATCGGTCAATTAGAAGATTTAAGGAGCAAATTACGCGACGGCGAAGAAAATTTTTTAAGGAAAGAACAAACGATGAGAACTGAAATTAACGAATTATTGAGGCGATTAGAGGACGCTGAAAGAAGAAATGAAGAACTTGCGCAATCGGTTATGGAAGTTGGGAAACCTTTGGTGCGACAACTTGAATCGTTACAAGCGACTTATAATGTTAAAATTGCCAATTTTGAACAGATGGAACAAAATTCTATCGTTAAAATTAGTACGTTAATTAATTCATTAAATAAGAATTTATTCAAATAAAACTAGAACTAACGTTAGAGCTAGAACTAACACTAAATATAGAACTAGAAACATTCGGGTTTAGCCATGCGTCTCTTAAGACGACTAAACCCGAATGTTTCTAGTTCTAGGTCTAGTGTTAATTGTAATGCTAGTGTTAGTTCCAGTTTTAGTTGTTATTCCCTTTGTCTCCTCACCTCCACAACCATTCTCATCCATCGTTTCCCCTCTCCCCCCTCTCCTAAGATCTGCCCTGGGTCCAACTCCTCCTCCCTCAACTCACTGCCCATTCACCCATTCCTCCCTGCATAGCCTACACCACCTCTCCTCATCGGCCATCCAGTATCTGTTAGCTCTCTCCTCGTTTCCACAACGGAACTTAGTCACCAACTTCTTTCCTTGCTCATCTCCTTCCAATAATAAGTATCTAGGCAGCCCCTCCGTAATTATGTCCCTGTACCTTTCGTTATACCTTCCCTCTTTTATTTGTGTCCTTCTTTCCTGCCTCTGCACATCTCGATCCCTATCTCTCAACTCCCTCCACATCTCCCTACCCACCCTTCGTCTACTGTTTATCTCAGTTACTGAGTAGCCCGCTCGTCTATAATAGTTGTCTCTGTGTCCTTCCCTATATCTGACTTTTCCCTCTCTAATTTCCCTCCAACACTCCGCCAAGATCCCGCAGTTTGGCTTCCCTTCTATTCTTTCTTCATATTTCACTGCCCTCCTGCCTGCCTCCACTCTGACCTTATCCACCTTTACCTCTTCCCTCATTATATACCCCGGTGTTTCTCTCGCCACCCCAAGCACCCATCTCCAGTATCTAGCTTGCACGTCCTCCAGCATTCCCTGCTCTCTCCATCCCCATACCTCTGCCCCATACATCATCACACTGCTGACCAGACCTTCAAACATAATCTTCCTCGCTACCACATTCCTTCCAAAGACTCTCTTCCCCCAACCCCATACTTGTCCCATCACCTTATTCGCCTTTTTTGCCATAGCTGTCACATGCGACCCCTCCCTGTTTAACACATACCCCAAGTAAGTATACTCCCTAACCTCCTCGATCTCTCTTCCTTCCCATCTCCAGTTTTCTGTTCTTTTTCTCACCCTTACAAAACTTCATCATCCTTGTCTTCCCCACATTCACTTCCAGTCCCTTCCCCCTAGAATATCTTTCCAATGTCTTCATCATATCCTTCATCTCCGCCACTTCTCTCGCCATGACCACGATGTCATCCGCGTATGCTAACATACGCACCTTTCTACCTCCCACCACCAACCCTCCCATCTGCCCCTTCCCCAATCTATCTTCCAGGTCCGCCGAATACAGTGCAAATAGACTTGGGCTCAGCGGACATCCCTGCCTCAGTCCCTTCGTCGTCCAGAACACGTCGCTCAGCTTATCTTCCACTTTTATCCTAGCCATAGTCTCCATGTATATTTCCTTCACTCTCGTAATTAGGTGTTCCGTATTCCCCTCCTCCCCATCTCCTCCCACAACTTCCCCCTATCCACCTTATCAAAAGCCGCCTTCAAATCTATAAACAGGGCGTACAATTTCCCTCCCTTCTTATCCAGCTCTCTATTTGCCAGATACCTCAACACGTACACGTTGTCGATTGCTCCCCTTCCCTTCTGAAAGCCTGCCTGCCCATCCGGAAAAATTCCCCCCCACTCCATCTCCTCCTCAATTCTTCCCAGCAGTATCTTCGTGTATACCTTGTATGCCGAGTCTAGTAGGAATGTTTCTAATTCTAGGTCTAATGTTAGTTCTAGTAACAGTGCTAGTGTAAAACTAGAACTAACACTAGACCTAGAACTAGAAATATTCGGATTTAGCCGCACGTCTCTCAAGACCTCTCAAGACGGCTAAACCCGAATGATTCTAGTTCTAGGTCTTGTGTTAGTTCTAGTGATAGTGCTAGTGCAAAACTAGAACTAACACTAGACCGAGAACTAGAAACATTCGGATTTAGCCGCACGTCTCTCAAGACGGCTAAACCCGAATGATTCTAGTTCTAGCTTTTGTGTTAGTTCTAGTGATAGTGCAAAACTAGAACTAACACTAGACTGAGAACTAGAAACATTCGGATTTAGCCGCACGTCTCTCAAGACGGCTAAACCCGAATGATTCTAGTTCTAGGTCTTGTGTTAGTTCTAGTTTTACCTGTTATTCAATACTAGATTGTGGTTCATTTTTATTGAACTAATAGTAGAACTAATACTAGTCTTAGAACTAGAATCATTTAGGTTTAGCCATACGTCTCTTAAGACGGCTAAACCCGAATGTTTCTAATTCCAAGTCTAGAGTTAGTGTTAGTTCTAGTTTTAGTTTAATTAACACGAGTCGTGAAAACCTTCATACTTGATTAATTAATTAATTTTTTAGATGATTTACAAACCAAACTAAGAACATTAACAGATTTAGAACGAATAGCGCGCGAAGATTCTGTATCATTCAAAGCTAGATTAACCGAAGCAGAATTAAAATTATCAGATATAAAGCGTGAAAAAGATTTGGCCGCCGTCCAATTCGACCAAAAGGAAACTGAGTACATATTAAATCAGCAAAAATTAAAGAAGTAAATTTCCCACTTTCTTATTCAAAATGTTGTGTTAATCAAATCCTTTTTCGTAGCGAAATCGATATTTTTCAAACAACTCTTAAAACCGAAAGGGAGCTCGTTGAAAATCTTCGAAAAGAAATTTCATCGCTTCAAAACAATTTGCAACAAATTGATCGAATTTCAAATGATGATGAAAAATCTGAAACGATTCAAGAGGAAAAGCAAGCGGCAAGTCAAATCGTTCCACCTCGTAGTTTATCTCCAAGTATGTCGATATCGGAATCGATTTCAAGTTCTTTATGGTTACCTGTAAGTGTTAAAGAAATTGTTGTATTTAGATTATTTAAATAATTTAATTAATTTGATTTAGGATGATGTGTTTGAAACATCAACGTCAAGTCGATGTACGAATATGTTAGAAATGCAATACATTCAAACGAGTTTGAAACAAAAAGACGGCGAAGTTCAACAGTTACATTGGGAGTTAAAGAGGCGAGAACACGAAAGGACGCTTCTCAATAAAGAAATATCTAGTTTAATATCAAAGGTTGAACAATTAGAGGGGAAAGTAATAAAACACGATTCGTTGCAAACGCAATTCGATGAATTAACGCAACAGTACGAAACATTATGTCAATTGTATGGGGAAAAGGTTGAGGAAACGGAAGAATTGAAATTAGATTTGGTAGATATTAAAGAAATGTATAAATCTCAAATAGATGATTTGTTAAATCAGCAAAAGGAGAAATAAGTTTTATTTCCTTATCATTAAAAAGTAAATTATTAAAGGTTTATATGTTTTTTGGGCACTCGGAATGTCTAAATCACGTTTTTTATTTAAGTTAAATTTTATTGGATTATTTTGTATTTAATACACTGTGATACGAATCGTTACAGAAAAATTGTGGAAGAGAAAAAGCGCTACATTGTACATAGTTGTACATTATTAGTAATCCTATCGTTGGTTAAATGTATAAAAAAATGATTTTATTGTTGATTTTACAGTAATAATAATAATAATACAAGGTATTATCAAAGAAAACGTCTTTTAATTAATCATTTCTCCTTAACATAAACGTTAAATTCAAACAAAAAATAAACTTGGAAAAAATACACTCATTTAATTCCTCGCTGAAATAACTGAAGTTGTACCTGAAGCTACAGCTAAATCGGTACTTTGACTTGTCGTATCTCTTTGTGGGCTCTAAAAATTAAAAATTTAATTACACACTTAATAATAATTAATTTAATTAGAAACTATGGGGAATACCAGATAGCGGCACAGTTGCTGAAGAGAAGCATTAATTATGAGAACATGGGGAGAGGGTTGAAAGGGAGGGAGCGGATAACCGACTGTGAGGGAGAGGGCTGAGGGGACGGGGGTATTAAACCAGCAATAGCAAGGGGAGTTATGGCGGAGAGCAATACGGAGAGGAGATGGAGACAGAAAGGGAAGGTAAAAAGGCAAATCAAGCTCGAGGGAGAGAAGGTGCAGATAATCACGGTATATAATTTAACTTTACAGAATATAATGTTTAATGAACAACCTAGATAAAGTTGATATTTAAAGCAATAAACCTCAATTTCACACAAAAGTACATATATTCTAATTTAGTTGATGCATCACTGATGATTTATAGTTAAAGTAAACCATCTACGATAATTGCATTTTAAAGCTACATAAAATACGCGCGAAACACTTCAAACTCTTTAAAATTTACAATTCGCGCAAGCGCTTTCGCGACATTGGGGCATGACAAAGACAAACAATATAATATATTATGTTATATAGTATCAAAGGCAGACGGAATGATATTATCATTCCGTCTGCCTTTGATGGAAACGCTCTCCTCTCATTGCTTAAATAGGGAGTCAGCGATATAGGAGATAGTATACAGTGCTAGCGTAAAGTAACCCCCCCCCCTGTTTAACTTCTGAACAGATTGAGATATCAATATGAACAAAAAAACGTCAGTTTCTATATTTTATCAGCACAAATATTTTCTTATGGAAAATTTTGGTATCACTTTTAGTTTTTCCGGAAAATGGAACAGCTTTGTTTTTTTAAATGGAACACCCAGTATATTATGGTATCTTTCGAAAGAATAAAACAATACGAATTCAACGATACCTCACAATCAAATATCGGTTTATTAGTTTTTTACATAAAAATTAAACAAAATGCGGAATTTCGCCGGAAAAACCAACGTATCTTCGTTGACTACCTGTCGAGATACAATGGGCCAGATAAATGGTGGACGGTCAGTTAAAGGTCGGTCTACGCTCGGATTAAGCAGGGTTAAAATCAGCAATTCTTTTAGAATGTTTTTATGAAACAATCAATACAAGAAAAGGATAAAAAGAAAGTTCTTTTTAAAACTTCTAAGAAAAAATTGTCATAACAACAATTTTAAAGTTTGTAGGTACTTTGAAATTTTGTATTTAAGGCAGCATGCAAATATTTTCCTTCATTTCTATCTTTGAATTCTACCCGACCAAGTATAACCAAAGAAAGGCGAGATCAAAATGGCTAGAAGGAGTTTAGAGCACAATATCGAAGCAATTTTAATATTCGCTCGTGCTGACAGAAATCTACATGAAACAGGGCGACAATTTAAGGAACGATTTCCTGAACATCCAATTAGTCGAAAATATTTAAGAGAGCTTGTGAATAAGTTTTTGGAAACTGGAAGCGTCGAAGACCGCAAAAGAACTGGTCGTCAGATATTAACAGAAGTATTTAATGTGCCCATGATGTCGTCTGCTGCTATCGCATCAACGTGTGATGTGTTAAATATTTCCGCGTCGTTGTTGGAAGACGTGGAAATACTTAAAGAAGAATAAATATCATCCATTTTAAATAAAAATGCTTCATGAATTAACAGAAGATGACCCTGATATAGAAGAACAGAATTTTGTGAGCTAATGACAAATATGGTTGAACGAAATCGATTATACTTGAAACATATTTGTTTCAGTGATGAATGTACTTTCTTTTTGGGTGGAAAATTGCATCGGCGTGATGTTAATCCACATGAATATCGTGACGTTATCACTCAATTTCATTAGAAAGTAAATGTTTTTTTTTCAAGACTTTTGCAAATTGTACAACAGAATTCTGACGATTTTGAAATGGAACTAGTGTTTCATCAAGACGGAGCACCTCCACATTATGCGCCAATGGTACGAAATTATCTTGATAAAAATTTTAATGGACAACAAGATCACCAGATCTGACACCTTTAGATTTCTTTTTATGGGGTTATTTAAAATCCAAGGTATATGAAATTCCGTTGGGTAGTATTGAGGATTTAAAACAAAAAATTATTGACGTCTGCCAAAATATTGATCACATGTTAAGCCGTGTGAGAGAGGAAACACTACAAAGATGGTACCACTGCCTAGAAGTTCAAGGTAATCATATCGAACAATTTACTTAATATTTGATTCTTAATAAATAAAAAATTCTTTTATTATTCAATAACAACACTAAGCAAATTTTTCAACCGTTACCTATACTAGCAAAATCTTTAATAAGAAAATTTCATTTCTTATATTGACTTTTTTTCTTTATAAATATTTTTTGATAAAATATGATTAATTCATAAATTTAATATACTTCCAAACAACTTTTATTTCATTTCTAAAAAAAATAAGTAATTGAACTTGCAATTTTAAATCCGTCTTAGCTCGAGCGTATACCGACCGTCCACCATTTACCTGGCCGATTGCATTTCGACAGGTAGTCGACGAAGATACGTTGGTTTTTCCGGCAAAATTCCGCATTTTGTTTAATTTTTATGCGAAAAACTAATAAACCGATATTTGATTGTGAGGTACCGTTGGATTCGTATTGTTTTCATCTTTCGGAAGATACCATAATATACTGGGTGTTCCATTTAAAAAAACAAAGTTGATCTATTTTCCGGAAAAACTAAAAGTGATGGCAAAATTTTCCATAAGAAAATATTTGTGCTGATAAAATATAGAAACTGACGTTTTTTTGTTCATAGTGATATCTCAATTTGTTCGGAAGTTAAACAAGGGGGGGGGGGTTACTTTACGCTAGCACTGTATACAGGGGATGTTCCGGTGACTCGGGGCATAAAATTAACCTCATATACTAGAGCAAAAATGATGACGATTCGTGAAAAAAAATTATTATAAAAGTCTTCAAATGGCCAAGATATGGGCCATCAAAGTTCAGAAATTTTAACACATTTTTCTAAATATTTTCAATACCAGTTATGGTAGAGCGTTGAAATTTGGTACAGGGTAAAGAAATATCAAGCAAAATCATTGAACCAATTTTGACCTGGATCGGGCGGCGATAACCATGCTATACAGGTGTCCCTAAAATTTGTTTGCTCAGAACTTTTTTGTTCGCTCGTAACCCTACATTTATTTTTGTACTTTTTAATAGAAATTTATTTTAGAAACTTTTATAACTCTTTGAAAATTTTGTTAACATTGACCGTTTTCGAGTTATGGTTGGTATGGTAGTGGTAGGTAGCGCTAATTAGCATAAGATATTACTATGTTGTATGTATTTATTGAACTAAAACTAGAACGGGAACTAGAAACATTCGGGTTTAGTCGTGAAAAAAACTTTCAGTTGTCAATGTCAACTTTAATTTTATTATTACGTTTAAAGTGAGTCCAAACATGACACATTTATCTCAAAAAACCAAAAAATTCGAACTTTTAATTTTGACATAATTGTCAACTTCATAAAAAATCCTTTAAAATGAGTCCAAACTCGACATATTTAACTTTAATATTAATGGAAATGTAATCACTTCCGGTTTGAAACGTCAACTTCAATTTTGACATCTTTGTCATCTTCATTAAAAAACCTTTAAAATGAGTCCAAAGATGACGCACTTATCTAAAAAAACAAAAAAGTTAGAATAAAAAACAGTAAACCCTAAGTTAGCAACAATAAAGATAGCAATTTAATTTTTAAATATTAATACCAACCTTAATTTTTTATTTTTTTTATTATACTTTTATTATACATTTTATAAAAATTATGAATATGTCAAAATGACATTGACATTTCCAAGCGGAAGTTGCTTATATCTCGATTAATATTGGAATTAAATATAACATGTTTGGACTCATTTTAAAGGATTTTTCACGACGATTACAAATATGTCAAAATTGACGTTGACATTTTTAACCGGAAGTTGACCATAACTTCATTAATATTGAAGATAAATATGTCGTGTTTGTACTCATTTTAAAAGATTTTTAATGAAGATTACAAATATGTCAAAAT